GTGGTTGCACCATTTTACACTCCCACCAACAGTGAATAAGGGTTCCAGTCTCTCCACAACCTCGCCAGCATTTGTTGCTTGTTGTCCTGTTAAATTTTGCTAGTCTTACTGGGGTGAGATGATATCTCATAGTTGTCTTGATTTGCATCTCTCTTAGAGCTAGGGATTTTGAACATTTCAAGTCATCTTTACAATTCTATCTCATCTCCACAACAAAAGCAATGCTCATATTAATTTTCAAATACACTAAGAAAGACAAACAGTGCAACAATGAAGGAATGAAAACCCAAAATCTCTGTAAATGTTCATTAAAACTAATAAAATTTAATGATAATAATAAAAAAAAAGACCAACTCAATGCCAACAAGTTGGAACCAAATGACAGCTGACCCTCCAGCAGGGTTTTCATAGGCTGTAAATCTCACAGGAAGAGATTACTCATCTTTTTCCTACATGGCAGCTGCTGAATTTGAACCTCCTACCTTTGGGTTGGCAGTACAACCTCTAACACACTAGGTAGCAGAGCTCTCTAGCCCACAAAGAGTTTTTCTACAAGGAAGCAACAAAACTGTTGTTCCAGATTCATCCTTAAAACGACAGAATTCTCCCACATATTAGTATTAATTTTTTTATACCAGTAATTAATTTTTCCAAAACTTTTCTAAATCTTCCAAATACAATCTTTAATACTTTTGAGACACATTTATTATCTTAATTAACAATATATTAATTTAGTCTTGAAAAAGAAACATGTTTAAAAAATGAAATTAAAAATATATGTAATATGAAATATACAGTAGGAAACAAAAACATTGGTTTGTGAAAGGTAGCAGAATTTCCTTTCTTTTCATAAATGTTCAAGAAGGTATTGACTTATTCATGATTATCTATAACTGGCAAACGAAATTTATCACAAAATTAAGACTGTAACATCTTAGCTTTCTTTCATAGATTAAAAAAGTAGGATACATTTTCTTCAAGAAAGTACACAGTAACTTAATAGTTAAGCAAGGTGGATAGTGTGTATGTGGGAAAAGATTTAAAGCCAGAATCAAAATCTTGAAAACTTTACTACTGAAATTACATAACCATTTCTTTTAAAGTTTTTCCATTTTAAACAATCTGATGGCTCATATAAGATGCAATTTTATACTAAATTTATAAAAAAATTACTAAATGAATCCTTGCTGCCTTAATCAGTTTCTAATCAAGTTGTGATATCAAATCCACCTTGAATACCTACTGTAGAGTCCTCCTCTGGTCTCTGTCTCGCAGTTTTATGCATTAAGCAAAGCATGCCTTTAGGTTACTCCTCATTATTTCAAAGCTAGCACACATCTCAGATACCGCAAGACACTTATAGCAGTCTTGGAATTTACTGCATAGGCGCTAATGCAGCATTCGGAAGCAAACTATCAAACATTTTTAACAAGGAAACAACTTTTCTACTTCTAAATTTAAGGAAAAATATTTATACAAATATTTCATAATCTCTACCACAGAACAGACCAAATTCAAACCAAAATTTCTTTATCTTGTCAGAAGCACAAAGCTGCTTACCATTCAGAGCTGTGGGAAACTGAGCCATCATGGTCCCGGATTTTCCCTGCTAGCTCTCAGCCATCTGCAACATAAAAACATTGTGGCATTAATAATACAACAAGGGCAGATCACAGCTTAGTACACTCGCTAAGCAGAGAGAATGTCTGTCCCCTTCAGTTCACACTTCCAACTGAAAACAATACAGAGCTTCTGCTGCTGAACAGGCAAAATTTACATTTGGGGAAGGGTAAAGGGTTTTGTTGGACAACAGTGTTGCCTAAAAAATAGAACCATTTAAAAGAAAAACAACTGCACATTTAATACCACATACTGGCTAAATAAATTTCTGGCATGAACCAATATCCTTAGTTAAATTAATCAGGGAGGAGGAAGGGCTGTTGTAACTGGCATACAGAGAAACCCAACTGTAAAAATTAAGGCGTACAACAATATGGGGAATTAATTTATCCTCCTTTCAAAAATTTCCCAATTAAGAAAAGCATCCACAATAAATGCAGGGTAGTATTTAAAAAAGGGGTTCCTTTAAAAAAAAAAAAGAAAGAAAGAAAGAAAAATAAAACAGATAGTGACTCTGGAAATTGATAGCTATGGGTTCAAATCCCAACTCTCATTACTTTTCCTAGCTGTGATTATGGAAAAGTAACCTTTCAGAGTCTTGAATTCCCCATCTGTAAAAATACTTTGCAGTAGTTTTTTGTTTTGTTTCTGTTGTTTTGTGTGGCTTTTTGCTTGAAGTTTTACATATAATTTCATACACTGTTCCATCAGCTTTTGGTTAGGACTAATTAGGGAGAGTAAAGGCCTAGCAAATACATACATAATACAGACAGTCTTGAAGAGCAATGATGTCCGTATGGAGACTAAGGTGTGCCTGATACAGGCCATGGCCTTGCAATTACTTGCTATTAATCAGAAAGCTGGACAATGACTAAGGATGATAAAAGAAGACATGATGCCTTTGAGCTGTGGTGCTAGAGAACTGAATATACCATGGACTGCTAGGAGAACAAACAAGTTCGTCCTGGAGAGGGTTAAACCATTAGAGGCAAGGATTTTGAAGCTTCGTCTAACATACTTTGGACATGTTGCAAGGAGGGACCAGTCCTTAGAGAAGAACACAATGCTTGGGAGGGTGGAGGGGCAGGCCAGGAGAGGATGACCTTTGATGAGGTGGACCGAGTCAGTGACTAGGGTAATGGGGGTAGGTGTGTCATACACAATGGGATTGGCACAAGATAGAGCAGGGTTTAGGGACTCAATGGCACATAACAACAACACAGGCAGTCTGTAGGTTGTAAATGTCCAACACCAACTTAGACACAACTTATATATAGATATGAACCAGCTCCTGTGAAGCATATTATACTAAAAACTCAAGGTACACACGTACAAACAGACATTATTTTGCAACCTGCATCAAATTATTACTATTACTGTATTATTATGTTAAACATGTTTTAGTGCTATCTGTTGTTGTTACATGCGAGTCAAAACAGATACATTGCTGAACCTTCAGCAGATTTTTTCACAGGTTGTAAATCACATAGGAGATTATCCATTTTTCTCCAGAGGAGCAGCTGGTAGATACAAACTGCCTGCCTTTCTGCTGAGAGAACAACTCTTTACCCACTAGGCCACCAGAGCTCTTGATGTTTCTCTGTGTTTCATTTTTTAATGCACAGAAAGATATTCTATATATTAAGACAAACATTTGACTGGCTGACAAATCATACCTAACCTTTCTAACTTATGTCCAAATGTGACTTAAAAACAGATGTAGGAATAAGATTCATTCATAATCTTGGTGCTGCTTGTACTATGCCAGTAATTAAAACCACTGATCATAGTACTGAAGGCAAACACTACTATATTAAACTACGTATCAGTAAGTAGTTCATCCATTTACTAAATAATTTAAATGCAAATATTTTTTTAAGCCTAAGGGAAAAAAATTATTTTGCACAAACTCGTTTAAAAACAAAGTATAAATAGAGTTACACATGATGGTAGGTGTCACCAGAGAAGCTGGCTGACCAGCTGCCAAAAATTGCTACAAGGTATCATTATCTTAGTGAACTCTGTGTGCCAGGAGTTGGTTCTCAGCTTCATTGAATCATAAATTTGACTTATCTGTATAGTCACTAAGAGTAACACACACTAACAGACTCACACACATAAAAAACCCTCCCAAACTCTAATATGCTAAGTCCATTATTTATTTATTTATTTACAATGAAAAATAGCCAAGAAAACCAAGAACCGCTTTTCTCCCTATTAAAAAGCAAAACAAAACACAAAAACAGTTGCCATCAAGTAAATTTCAACGTATTGGTGACTATATGCTTCAGAGCAGAATTATATGGCGTATGATTTCCAGTGACTTTGACCTTTTGGAAGCCGATCACGAAGTCTGTGGGGGTTTTTTTCTGAGATAACTCTGGGTTCAAAACTCCAGCCTCTGTCAGCAGCCAACAGCCTAAATGCTAACAACCACCAGAGAGCCTTTTCTGACTAAAGAGGAAGCAAGACCACAAAATTTTTACTAGATTTAGTCTGGTGAGCAAAGACTGTGATTACTTAATGACTTAATACTTAATGACACCAGCTACCAACATTCTGATACATTTATCTACAAGGAAACAGGAAGACTACTACTACAGGCTAGACTGTAATGGAGCTTTAGACCCAAGAACTATTTCCTATATAAATTGGGAGGAAATTTCATCCATATACAAGATAGTTTTCTGTTAAATCACCATCTGTCAAGTTGAAATCAACTCATAGCTGCAGGTTTTTGGAGGCTGTAAACCACAAAAGACACTGTTCATCTTTCTCCTTTCGAGTTGATGGTGGACACTACATACAAAAAATACTTAAACTATGGTAGGCAGTCAGGAATTCCTAGAGAAAATTATATACTGAGAGTTCAAGGACAAGTAAGAATTAGTTGAAATTTTACTTTTAATAACTGCAGACTTGAGCTTTTAGTTGTTGTTATGTGCCATTGAGTTGCCTGTGACTTTTAGAGACCCTATGTACAACAGCTCTGAAGCCTGCCCTGTCCTGAGCCAACCTCACTGACTGACACACCAACCCCCTTGTCTCAGTTACTATCACAATCCATCTCATCCAGGGTCTCCCTCTCCAGTGCTGTTCCTCCACCCTTCCAAGCATGATGTTCTTCTGCAAGGATCAGTCCCTCCTGGCCACCTGGCCACCTGGCCAAAGTATGTGAGAAACTTGGTTTGACTCTCCCTAAGTCAGACCTATTTGTTTTCTTGGTAGTCCACTGTATACTCAAGAAGCACCACAACTCAAAGGCATTGATTGTTCTGTCATCCTTATTCATTTTCCACCTCTCTGATACATACATAGCAAGTAATTCCAAATACCATGGCCTGAATCAGGCACACTTATTCTCTAGACTGACATCATTGCTGTTCAGTACTCCAGAAAGGTCCCTGACAGCAGATTTTTCCCAGTATAATTTGTCTTTTGATTTTCTGACTTCTGGAGCCAAAAGTGTTGATTGTGGAGCCAAGCAAGCTGTATTTGTTAACAACCTCAATCTCTTCTCCATCTATCATGGTGCTGTCAAGTGGCCCAGGGGTGAAGATCTAGGTCTTCTTCCCCCTCTCCCCTGCCCTTATGTACTGTCGAGTCAGATTTCACTGGCACAGGAGAAGACTGTCCATTTTTCTCCAGTGTAGCATCTGGTGGACTTGAACCACGCACCTTCAGGACTGCAGTGCAGCTTCTTGCCATTAGACCACCAGAGCTCCCCTGAATCTTTGTCTTCTTGATATTGGGCTTCAACTTATATTGAAGACTATAGTCCGTGACCTTGTGCAGCAAGCGCTTCAGGTCCTCCTCAGCTTCAGCAAGCAAGACTGTATCATGTGCATAACATAGGCTGTTGATGAGTCTTCCTCCAATTCTTATGTCACATTGCTCCAGGGAGTTTATAAAGGATTTTAAAGCAAGAAGTACTGTTAGATATGCTTAAGAAAGACAACAAGCTGCTATTGAGAAAAACGGGCAAGACTAAAGAAAGGAGAACAGTTAAGGAAGCAGTGAGTATTTAATCGACAACAAGGCCAGCACAAACAGAAACTATAAGATGAACTGCAGAAACAGTGAAGGATTTAAAATAAGAATTAAATGATTCTGGAAATGGAGGATGACGAAATAAAAGGAAATTAAAAAGCAATTTTCAGAATTACAGTTTGCACAACTGGATAAACTGTGGTGTCACAAATTAAAAAGTGAATACAGAAGCAAGTCTCAAAAATCAAGAGAAAACTGCAACTTCCTCAATTAATTATAGAAATTCTACAAACAAGTGTAACATTTTCATTTCCTCACTTTCAAATTTTCTTAAGTAATATTAGTCCAAAACAAGCCATATGCCTACAGAAAAAATTTACAGATATGCAGAATCAAGAACATTTGTGATTTAAAAATGCAAGAGAAAATTTGCCTAATGTACCAACATGTTGGGCTGCTAACCTTAAAGTTGACAGTTCAAGTCCATAACAATTTACAGCTTTAGAAACTGACTCAATGCTAGATGGCTGGGACACAATGATCAAAGCAATAGCCTCCACTATATCAAGGATCATAAAGACGGCACAAGACCAAACAAATTCTCATTCTGTTATATATAAGGCCACTATAAATAAAAATCAAGGCCAATTTAAATGTAATTATCAATGACAACTTGCAGCAAAGTCATTATAATTAAGGTTTTTCAAAATATAACTAATACTTAAGACTTTTGCAGTCAAGAAAAACTAGTATTTACTGTACAGTTACTGTCTGTATTAATTTAATACACTTCTACTGATCATGTACTATGACTTTGCCACATTTGGTATTACTTTAGAATCTAATACAGTAATTTCAGGAGCTCTGGTGGCCTACTGTTAAGAAGCTATGCTGCAATCCCAAAGGTACATGGTTCGTATCCAAGTGCTCCTCAGAAGGATGATCTATCTCCTCCATTGAGATTACCTGTCTCTGAAAACTGAATGGAGGGTCAGCTATGGGTTGGTTCTGACTCA